ATCATCTATCTATCTATCTATCTATCTATCTATCTATCTATCTATCTATCTGTCTTAGATAGATCTATAGGTCTAACAAACATGTAAAATGTATTTATGATGCAGAAAAAAAATATTTGAGAATATTTTTGTCCAAAAAAATAAGTCAATATGACACAATGATCTTACTCCAGTTTATGATAGTTATGCATATCCATTATCCTAATCCTGTTGCGTTTAATCTCTCTTTCAGACGTTTCTGCCTTCTTCAAACCTGGAACGTCAGTCACGTACACGTTCAAAGAGCCGTACAAGCTGAACAGGAACGTCAGCGCTCAGTCGTCCTCCATCTACTCAGATTTAACGCTGAGAGCAGAGAACGTTTCGCTGAGCTTCAGGACGAGCCAAGCGCCGGCGCTGCTGCTTTACATCAGCTCATACTACAGAGAGTTCCTCGCCGTCCTGCTCGACAGAAACGGTCTGAAATGCTCTGATCCTCCTCTCTAAGCACATTCACGTGGATTAGCTTGAGTCTGGGGAATCTCTCAACACACCAGCCGCACTAAATTACTTCCTATATTGTCTGAAATCCGGCAAGAGAGAGGGAAAGCCGTGAAAGAAATGGCCTGTCGCGTGCCGGCGGGGGATATATTCCCTCGTGAGACTGCCATGCATTCATGAGCGCGTGTAAACATGCGTCTGTGATCTCACGCGACACAAAAGCCGATTCTCAGAGCTACATTTTCTCAGAAGCTCTCGTAATTTAAAAAGTTGCTCGACTTTCATCCAAAACAGCAGCCTGACATCAGAGACACGTCTTCTCACGGTTTCCTGCGCTGTAAATCTGCCACGGCAAGGGAAATTATATTTTAGTCAAGTTGCACGTTTGCAGAATTAAATGTGATGAGAAACTGGCTGAGAGCCATGAAATAATGCAATAAACACAAATCATACAGTGTAGGATGATTAACAGATTCTTTTGAGACAGTTCTTTTAATGAATCGTGCAAAAAAGACTTTTGATCTGAATCACTGTTCTTATCAAACGTGAGGCAATAAATATTTTAGCCACAAAATAATGCAAAGACAGTAAAAATACAAGACATATTTCTATTGCATGTTGGCAAAAAAATACAGAGTTAACAGTTGACACTTTTGAGCCAATTCTTTTAATGAATCATGCAAAATGATACATGACCTTTGATTTGAATCACTGTGTCCTGACCAAACGTGATGCAATAAAATGTTTTCTAATGTAAAATTCTATTTTACATGAAAACTAAAACTAATAAAAATGACAAAATTGCACAACAAAATTACTAAAGATTAAACTAAAATTTTAATGAAAATACAAAAATTAAACCTCAGTCAAAATATTAATATTATTATAGTATAAAAATAATACTAAAATATTTGTGAGTTTGCAGACTTGAATGTGATGAGATAAACAGGCTGCAAGCAACGAAATATTGCAGTAAACTTACAAGATATCTTTCTGTTGTGTCTTCTTTGCAGATCATGCAATGTAGTTTGATTAAAAGATTCTTTTAACGCTTCATGCAAAAAGATTCATGAAGTTTGATTTCAATCATTCTTAAACAAGCATGGTGCAATAAAACATTCTTCTCCATTTAAAAATTATATTTTAGCCGCAAAATAATGCAAAGACTGTAAAAATACTAGACATCTTTCTATTGCATCTTTGCAAAACATCTTTACAATATGACAAGTTGACTCTTGTGAGCCAATTCTTTTAATGAATCATGCAAAACCACTCATGAAGTTTGATTTGAATCACTGTGCCCACTGAGATGCAATAAAAACCTTTTCATGGAAATCTGCATATTTGTCCCAATGTTATGCTTTCATTGTATCTAGACAAATATTAATTGTTGCTGGAAATGTATTGCATCATGTCTGGTTGGAACCAGAGTTGGTATTCTTAACTAAATCTAAAACTATTAAAAATTGTTGAAATAGAGCTGTAATGAACTAAAACATACATAGTAGATGAAAAACAAAAAGTAAAAATTAAATGAAAATTTGAGATATTACCTTGCAGACTAACTGAAAATAAAAATTAAAAAACAACAATAAACTAAATTATTATTATTATAGAATGTAAATAATTATAAAATAAGTTAGAACACAGTGTAATGCATGGATACTTGTTGAGCTTTTTGGAATGGATGTTCATATAAAGTAACAGTGCATAACCAAACATCAAAGTATGTTACCCAATATAGTCTTGTTTTATTTAGCATGCTGTTAGGGCCAATTATCGTGGTGTCCCACGCTGCCGCAGCAGCAGAATTCAGTAGGAATCTGTGGATCTGGCTCATCATGACACACTGGGTTTGCACAGAGAGGAAACAGCAGACAGCGTGTGGCGTTAATACCTGCTAGTGCAATTAAGCAGAAAGTCCAGAACCCCAGAGGCTGCTCTGACAGCTTCCTGTTCCTGTTGCATGAAGTTATTTATTTCTCACTGTCCATATGCATTAATTAACAGGACAGTTCACCTAAAAATTGCAAGCAAAAGCCAACTGATCCATTAGTGCAGAACCAAACATGCAAGCAGCCACTTAGCATTATATTATGTTTGCCACGTGCAAAACGCACTTATTTTTTACTTGACAACATGTTAAAAAGTAGTTTTAGCTTTGTAAAGAATGATTAAGTTCACCGGAGGTGATATGCACGCATGCAAAAATGAGTTTTTCATTTATTTCCGCGTCTTGTTTTGTTTCATAGAGGATAAAGTTTTAATCCTCTTAAGATGAAGCTTTGTAGTTGCGAAACACATTGGCTTCTGTCGCATGTTGATGTTCCTGTTCATGTTGACTGCGGTTAAACGGTGACTTTTTACGGTATAAAAGCCTGTTGAGAAATCCAATACTCTTTGTTCTAAAGGACATTTGGACATCAAGTACAAACTGCAGCACAACAGAGACGCGGAGGTTTTCCGAGCCAGCGGCAGGAATCTGGCCAACGGGCAGCTGCACCGCGTGAGCGTCCAGAGACTGACAGAGACGCTCAGTATTCAGGTACTGTGATCATCAAAGCAGGGCCTGTTAAATGCACACAGTGAAGGGACATTCTGCCTATTCTCAACATACAGCATCTGTGACATGATGTTGATTTCCATGGGAAATGTGTTTGCAAAAACACACTGGACTCAAACTGGCAGCACTGCAGGCAAGACACTACAGGCAGAAGCATCAGTTTTCAGGCTGTTTTGCCTCCATAATTCTATTCTAATTCTATTCTTTAAAAAAAAACTTGCCCCTTTTAGACTTGCACTTTATTCATTTACTAACTGCTTGTTTTCTTTTAAAAAAGCTAACTTTTAAACTAATCTTTTTGTATTCTATCTATTTGTTTTCTTTTTATTTATTATATAATTTTAAAAAAAAACTTGCTACGTGTACTGCGTTAAGCTAACTGAGGCTTGTTATAGCACTTGTATTTCGTTCCTCTTTTGTTGATTTTGATTACTTCGTCCTCATTTGTAAGTCGCTTTGGATAAAAGCATCTGCTAAATTACTAAATGTAAATAATTGTCAGCGTTCAGACCAGTGTTATTTTAGTACCATTGAGATACTATTATAGTTTTTGTGGTAACACTTTACAGTAAGGTCTCATTTGTTAACATTAAAGCATGATCTAACAATGAACAATACATTTTTACAGTATTTATTAACCTTTGCTTATGTTAGTTAATAAAATGTTAATCTTAATGTTAGTTGGCAGTGCATTAACTAATGTTAACAAATGAAACTTTATTGTAAAGTGTTACCATTTTTCTTAATATTTTGAATTAGAATTAGAATTTATTTTTTATTTATTTAATTAGAATTTGTTAATAAACGATAACGTTTTAGCAATTTAGTTGTGTTTTTTCGTTATTTTATTAGTTTTTGTTGTTTTTAAATGTGTATATAATTTTTATAAATTATATTTTATATAATATATAATGAATTGTAATTCTATTTTGTAATATATATATATATATATATATATAACAAATTCTTACAGCTTGTATATAATATATATTTTAGTTATTTTAGTATGTCAAGTTAAATGTTGCTGAAATAAAACAAGTTTATGTTTATTATATTTTATTCTATTTCAGTAATCATATTTTATTTCAAGTAACATAAATATTTTTTATGGTTTTAGTTTATTTAACTATAATAACCCTGCTTCAGACTAGTGGAAACAAAACATCGAAAATGCACATTTAAGTGTTTGTTTAATAGCACTTGATATATTTGCGTCTGTAGATTTCAATTGCAATATATATCTTTAATGGACATTTTCTCAAAATGAGTTTGCTTCTCCACTTCAGTAGTACATGCACCAAAATGTACAGTTTTATTCATATCTATATTCTGAAGGTTTTTACTGAGGGGTTTGTTCAGATATCATTCACGCTGATTTTTATAACATTTTAATTCTAAAAACATGATGCATTTTTTTTTCTGCCTTTTGACAGTATTTTCTGATTTATGGCTTGATAAAAAGAGAAATCCAAAATTCCCTTTGTAAAAACCTTTAACTCTAACATATCAACAAAATTAAATAAGAATTTTGGCTTTACCCAGTGCTCAGATTTATTCAAATCAGTGCATATTTATTTAGATAATGCATCATTTGCATATTTAACATTTCAGAAAACGTAATACTGAATACAAAATAATTGTCTTAATGTAGTGTGATTAATCACCTGGGGAAAGTATGGTGATGTCTATTAGTTAATTTTACCCTGTTAACCTGTAGTGTCTTGCCTTAAACCGCTGTAGTCTATAAATAAGTTGATAATTTCCAGGAATATTCCTTTAAACCCTTTCTAAAAGGCTACAACATGCATCAAAATATTAAATAGAACACCCTTGTCAAGCCATGCATATATTGATGAATTTGAAATCAAGTTTTTGATCACATTTTGATATTGAGTATCCAGGTGAAATATCAATCGGTCTGATGAGTGACACGCGCTGGTCAATAACTGTCGATGACCAAACCAATTAGTCTGAACCTCTGCAATGACCGAAGCACTTCCTCTGGTCTTGAACCAGCGAGCCTGTTTTATAATTGCTTTGAAGATAAGTTTGAATTAAAATGCTTGCAGATGAATATGCCCTTGCTATGAACATGATGCTGCCAAGCTTTTTCTGTCCTCTTTCCTAAAATGTTAACTGTCTTCTTGCATTTTTTGTAGGTCGATCAGCATGCAAAGGAATATTTCAATCTAACATCGGACACTGAATTCAACGCCATCAAATCGATTGTCTTGGGAAAAGTGATCGGTGAGTAAAATCACTGTAAACAGTCAGCCGAAGATTTCCACGGAAAAACTGAGATTGTTAGGACTTGATTGCAAGTTTTCTGTTTATGCTCAGCTTAAATATTTGAATTTGAACTTCTAATTTTATTCAAAATAAATTTAATCGACTGCCCGTATGGCAATGGTTTTTGAAGCAAAATTTCGAAAGTTTAAGCTAAATGTTTTCATAATAAATGAGCAAAAACCGAAAGTCTTACATATGTTCTATTTGACAAGCAGTTCTAATCTCACCAGAGTGTTTTTGCATCAAGGAGGAAATGTCTCTGAATTACAGTCGAGTTCTGAACTCAATGACATGCAGATGGTCAGTTAAGTGGCCATTATTATATTTATTTTAGAGGTTTTCTAAGCATCACAGATGCTGAAATGTCTGGAGGAAGCAGAGGCAGCAGGAGCTTGTTTGTGCAGTCAGGCGAACTCTTCAATCTGAGTGAACAAAGTACAGTTTGTCCTATTTACTTCAGTTAAGACTAATATTGACTTTACATGTTATTATTGTTGTCTGGGGGGATGGCAAATGGGTCAGTTTGATTTTTTCATGTCTATAAATAGGACCTGCAGCAGCTTTCTAGTCATAAAACCTGAATAGATTAATAAAACATTCAGTAAATAAATAATACAGCAGAAGTTTGAAATACGAAGCTTGCAGGGTGAATCTCATGAAGACATTTTGTATTTAAAAAGTCTATTATTAGGATGTTTTTTTGCTTATTTTTGCATTGTGACTTTTTTCATTACAGTTAAGCACAATTTGCAACTAAATTCTCATTATTTCAATGCAAAATATTTTGCATATATATGTGTGTGTGTGTGTGTGTGTGTGTGTGTGTATATATATATATATATATATATATATATTTAGTACTGTCCTGAATAAGCTATTTCACATAACAGATGTTTACATATACTCCACAACACAAAATAATAACTTAATATATATATAGTTGTAAGTCAATTGCATTGCAGTATTTGTTATACTGCCATTATCTTTTCTGATTTTATAAAAAAAAATTGTTGAGGATGTGTTTTGAACTTCATGCATTAAAATAAGTCTATTATTGGAAGGTTTATTTGTTTTTTTTGCATTGTGACATTTTTTCATGACAATTAAGCACAATTTGGCACTAAAATTGTGTGTGTGTGTGTGTGTGTGTGTGTGTGT